AAACCCTAAAACCTTAAACCCTATAAACCCTAAACCCTGTTTCCCAAGTCTCGAGAAGGAGCCGCCGCCGATGTCGCCGAGCCGGAGTCTGAAGCCGCGGTGGCGCACCCTGGGCTGCAAGCTGCGGGGTTCTTTGGGGTTTTGGGGCCCTGAGGAACCCCAAGACTCCAAGTATATAAATAGTACCCACTTTGGGGTCTAAAGTCTATGAATAGTACCTACTTTGGGCTATTTGGAGTCTTAGGGGAATCTTTTGAAAATTCTATAGGGCCCTGAAGGGTTCCTTTAAGGGTTCTATAGGGCCCTAAAGGCTTCCTTTTACGGGTTCCTTTTCAGGGCCCTGAGGGGTTCCTTTAAGGGCTTTATATAAGGGTTTTATGGTGGTTTGGGGGTTTGCCTGCATTGAATTTTGCTTTTAAGTCTTTATACGGGATTGACGGAGAGTTTGGTCCATCGCTTCGCACGAAGAGCTGACCTTCGAGTTGCGGAATGCAAACGATCCTTACAGCTCAGACCCTAAACAGTAATTCGGAGCCTCATTATTTATTTATTTATTTATATATAATATAAGGACTCCTAGATCAGATACTTTTTAGGTCCTTGCACTTCTTTTGCTAGGTTTCCCCATCTCAGGATGTCGCTTTCTGCGCCCGTCGCGCCCGTGGCCGCGGTTGCATCGGAATCAGACAGTGCGACCTGTCTGAATCTGAAGCAGGGTTTAGGGTTTAGGGTTTAGCTCTTCCACAGACATCCTCACAAGTTTGACCTGGTCAGGCTAGCAGGTGATGAGTTCTAAACTCCTAACTTTCTATGGGTTTGTTCCCCCCCGAGGCCCGATTGTTGCAGCAAGAGTAGCTGCTGTCTTTGGGCCCAACATGAGCCCTGTGCAACCATTGTACATTGTCCCACGGTAATTGGGCTTGTGGCCCAACTTATGGGGCTAGGCGATCAAGCTATTGCGACCCAACTATAATACCCCCCAAGACCCTAAACGACAAAGCGCACAAGGCACCTTTGTAGAGGTACTTGGATCGGTCCTGGCATGCTTATGGAGCGTTACTATAGAAGGAACATGGGACGTAGTACCTCGGCTCAATGTGGGGTGGCACGGACCGTCATTGCATGGGTTAGCCCACTTGCAGCCCTACATCATTAGCTTATCTTCGACTTACTCCTCCTGTTTAAGTGCTTGTGAACACCTATATGGCAGTCCTGCAAGTAAAAAACCTTCGGCGGCTTAAACAACCCTAAACCCTAAACGGAAATCTAAACCCTAAATCCTAAACCCTAAACCCTGAACCCTAAACCCTAAACCCTAAATCCTAAACCCTAAACGGAAATCTAGGCCTCGCACCGGCGCCGGCGCTTTCCCAGTGCCCCGGAAAGAGACAGCGACGAAGAGGCACAAGTCATCTTGCTGCTTTGTTTTTTCTTTGGCTTGCGGATGCAGGATTTTGTATGTACTGCTTTGTGGTTTGGTCTACATGCATCAGGGTTGCATATTGAAGTTGCTGAAATAAATCTTTGTAGCAGGTCCAAGCGCTGCACTGTTTACAGGTCTTGCGAATTCCAGGCTGTTGGAAGGCAGCCAGAGTATGTAGTCTCCGGTATGCGCAACCCTAAACCCTAAACTAACCCTAAACCCTAAACCCTAAACCCAAACCCTAAACCACCATGCCTGTAGTATCAAGGAAGTTTTCTCGTGGCAGGTTAAAGCTGGGGATGCAAGCGCCCACAGGGTAATATCCTTTACTATGCCACGTACGTTCAGACAACGCCATTTTACGCTTCGCTGCAGTCTCGCCTGTTTGGGCACAAGGCGATCAAGATCATAGTACCCAACCGTACGAGGCCTAGGCTTGAGGGAATGTCAGATTATTGTGGCACTTCGCGCCGTCCTTTGTCTCGAGCCCGCGACGCAATGGAGGAACCGCAGGGCCGCGCAAATCCTGAGAAACTGTTTCCGCCGGAGTCGCTTAGTCATGTTGGCATTTTTCCCCCTGACTGCTTTCATGTTACTAGCAGACTTTTTGCGTGCTGATCTCTTTTTTGGTTCGTAATTACATTGAGTTGCCTGAGGTAAATTTCGTCATATTCACCTCAGCACCACCCTGTGCACCGGGGCTTTAAGTGACTACCACACAAAACCTATGAGCTCGCTGGTAGACCTTTCTCACACTGTAGGTATGCGTCACACATGGCGCAGTTTTCTGTGGCCTGTCACGAAGCTCACGTCGACCAACGTGCTCTTCTGGAGTCTTTTGCACTTTATCACGCTGCACCAACCCACTTAACCAAGCAGCTGGACACATGGCCAAGCAATCCTGTTAGGACCTTCGGCGGAAAGAAGAACGGTCATCTTGAGCTCCATGTTTTTGCCAGCATGCGCGAGGGATTTGCGCAATCCGTGCAGTATGGAAGTGCAGACATGGACTATGCTCTTGTCCCTGTTCCCTGCACCGTGGGCTCCTTGGAGTCCACGACTGGGCTCGCATATGAATTCTGCGAGCCGGGCTACGTGACGCTTCTCATGCGGGAGGCTGGTGTTCACTGGGTCTGCGAAGAGATTTTCAGTCAGGCTTGTGCCCACAATGGAGACGCGTGCGGCATGGTAATAAACGCAGAGATGGTGGGCCAGCTCTGGGCACCTCTCATGGGAGGCGAGCAGAATGGGCCCGCGAGCCGCCCTGACTTGAATTTGTATCGTGTCTTCAAGGATGCTGATGTGCAGAACCAGTTCCCCGAGCGAGACTTGCATGTTCCAGTGGATCTGTCTTTGCAGCTGAAATGTGACATTGAGTTGGGTGAGCAGTGGCTACTCAGAGATCGGCAAGGTTTTCCGCCCAAGAACCTTGTTCGTTATCTGAATTCCGGTTCTGTTCGCCTAGTCCCAACTGGATCACCCAAGAGCTGTGAGCCTTGGAGGCTTTGCTTTCCGGCCGCCGAAATCGCCATTGCAGATGCCATGGGCGCGATGCATCGACAGGCCATGCAGCTCTTGAAGTTGCTGCGTGACAAATATGCAAGCGCCGCTGTGAAGCTTTCATCGTTCCACATAAAGAACGCGCTTTTTTGGGTGGCAGAGGCAGTCCCACCTGAAGGCTGGAGCGTCGAGCGCCTATCCTTGCGATTGCGCGATGTGTGGGCATTCCTGCGCAAAGCTTTCCAGGAAGGTCACTTTCCTCAGTATTTCTGGTCTGGGCGCAACATTTTGGACACGCTGACCCAGCCACAAATAGCTGCAACCAAAGAGTTCTTGGAAAAAGATGTCATGACCTCACTGCTTTGCTTGCTGAAAGAAGGGCAGCTACGTCATTCCTTTGGGTCGCAGGATTATTTTGTAATTGTGCAGCCGACCCTCTCAGCAATCGATGCTCTTGACTCGGAAGAGAATGGTGCCTTGAAGCGCTCTACGTGGCAATCAATGCAATACACTCTTTTCTTCCAAGCCATTTGTTTGGCCAGAGTCTTGCTGGGTGCGGCCGACATGGTCAACAGCTCTGACATGACGTGCTTATGTGCCAAAGGACTTCTGCCACACTGTGAGGCGGTTGCAGCTTTTGTAGCGCCCTCAGGAAAAGACAGGCTGCCTGATTGGGCCCTTGCGATAGCCCTTGTCCTGTGGCTAAATGGCGGGCAGCAAGATGAAAACTTTCAGCGGGTGGCCAGAGGCTTGGGGATAAAGCCGGGCTGTGATGATGATGGAAGCCTAACGCGATCAGCATTGGAAGCGTGGGGATTAGTGAAAGAATAGATGCCCTGGACAGCTGGAAAAGTGCTGGCTATCTCAATGGGTTCATCATGTTGTCAGCACGACTATCGTCAGAAACCAATCGCAGTGTCCTTGTGTTTCTCAGGTTTTCTGTAAAGGAGTGAAACTGTCAAGGTTTTGGCATGAGCCAAGAAAGAAACCACCGAAACATCCATTTCTTTTGCAAGCATTAGCCTGCCTTGCTCACCTTAGGTAGCCAATGGGAGAACTTTAAACTTTTTGGCCTTATGTATTATGTCTATCCTACAAAGTTTGAACTTTTTTGGGCCTGGTTGTTGAAGAAGAGAGTCACCACTGCACAAGGTGCTGTGTCACCTTCTTCCAAAGAGAAACCTACTTTTTGGAGCTGATCCATACTCTTTTCCTACATAGAAGTTCCCTGCCAGGAATTTAGTTCTAGGTCCCAAAAGGTCATCCTCATTACTATGGCTTTAGGGACCCAGTTCCACATTATATAGATGTATGTATATATATATATGTATATGTATATGTGTGTGTGTATATATGTGTGTATATATATATATATGTATACAGATGGAGCCTCCGGGGTGGTTTCAGGTCCAATGGCGCCTTGAGAAGACAGCCCTCGCCCAGCAGATGCGCGTCGACGAGGTGGCCGGGACAAGTTTCGTGGTTTAGGGTTTAGGGGTTTTGGGTTTAGGGTTTTGGGTGGACTTCTTGCTGGGGGGCATGAAACTGACCTACGGCTGACGATCTAAATCCTGCATTACCCGTGATAAGGAATCTACACCATAATTCCCATGGTTTAGGGTCCTTAAGGTAACCCATAATTTACTGAATATATACCATAAGACCTATAGTTTAGGATCCTTATAAGGTAATGCAGATAAGGAATATATACCATAGTTCCCATAGTTTAAGTGCCCGTATAAGGTAATGCAGGGCTTATATCATCAACAGTAGCATCTGAGCCTTCAGGTTTTCCTTGGTAAAGTACAGGTACGTATCTACTTAGGTCTGTCTCTCTCTCTCTCTCTCTCTCTCTCTGGAGTGGTATGTAAAGCATGCATGTCCATACGCCTATTTATGTGTGGACATAGAAAAAATGTGTATATATATAATATCATGTGTATATATATATGTATATGTATATGTGTGTGCATATATATATATGTACATGTTCTCGAACTTGTGTTTACCTCCACGACAACGGCAGCTTGAAACGCCAATTCGTACGGCAGCAGTTCATGGCAACCGAACGGCAAGTATCGAGGTGCCGAAGCGCGGTGGGCGGCTCGAGATGACGGAGGACTGCCGCACGCATGTGCCAGAAGTTGTCCGGTAGTTAAGACGTGTGGTGCGCTTGTTTATCGCCGCCCGCCCAAAAAAATCAAAATCGTGGATCCTAATGTCACTTTGGATTCGTTAAAATCGTGCAGCAACTACATTCGATTGACTCCTCATTGGGTTATGATTACGATCACTCGGAGGGTGAGATTTCTGCGGAACCGTCAAGATCCCTGAGCCCCTAAACGAGTTGAAACTCTCAAAGCAACGTATATCCTATATCCCTAACCCCGGGTGCCGATAAATCCTATACCGTAAACCCTATAAGCCTTCTAAACCTTCTAATTCCGATAAGCCCGAAGCCCCAAAAACCCTAAAACCCTGCACCCTAAAAACCCTAAAACCATAAAAACCCTAACAGCCCTAAACCCCGAAACCCTAAACCCTAAATTCCCCGGCTCCAGAATGGCTCGGACTGGAAGCCCTTCTACGAGGGCCCGGTGGAGGCTGGGTGCCTTTTCGGAGTGTAGGATTCAGGGCTTAGGGCTTTTTGGATTCAGGGCTTAGGGCTTGGGGCTTATAGGGTTTAGGGCTTAGGGTTTCGGGTTGAGGGCTTAGGGTTTAGGGCTTGGGGCTTATAAGGTTCAGAGCTTAGGGCTTAGGGTTGAGGGTTTATAGGGCTTAGGGCTTCTAGGGTTCAGGGCTTTGGGCTTAGGGTTTAGGGCTTGGAGGGCTTAGAGGGATCCGGAAGCCTTCAAAAATGGTTTCTGGCCGCAGGGCTTAGGGGATTCAACAACCCGGGACCTCTTTAGCTCGAAGCTCTTGGACTTGAAACCCCTGGCCCATAAGGGTTTAGGGATTTAGGGGTTC